GGAGAACGTTGGGAATGACATATCCATCCTGTGGAATTTGGTATGTCGGCAAGTGGACATGGCTATCGAAGAGATTTGAGTAGAAGTCATGGATAATCTTCTCCATTGCCATTCTGGAGGATGTGATGGATCCATCAGGACGTCGGAGGGCAGTCATCTTGGTCTTGTAGTTGGCGAAGGACAGGTGGGCATTACGAATACTTTTCCCGGCTTCTGCCGCATCTACCAGTACTTCTGCTCTTCTCTCTTTGAGGTCTTCCTTGATCGCATCTCTCACTGCTTTGCGAGCTTGGACGTTAGCTTGCGGTTGCCTGAGGCATGCGCCAAACCATGGTGGCGAATTAGCTCAAGAGTTTTCGAAGATAGGTGATTTTTTGTGACTATCTCTCTCTTGGCGTTCCTCGCACATTCATGGAGGTGCTGAACCAGTCGATCGTATTCCTCGTCAATGTTGTCAACAATGGCATCTTCCCATGTTGCCGCAATAGTACCAAAGAGTTCCCAGTTGGTGGTCATTCTGGGAGTTCTCTTTTTGAACTTTGCAGCCCTTTCTCCCCGCTCTGTGAAGTAGAATTTTGCACGAAGGAGACGGTGGTCCGATCCCGTTCGAAATTTTGGGACAACAGCGACATCGGTCAGGCAAAATCGTCGATTGAATATGATGTGGTCTATTTCATTGTGGAATCGTCTACCGGGAGACTCCCATGTCCATCGTTTAGATTCTGCCTTCTGGAACTGTAAGTTACCATGAATGGTCTTGGTCGATATGATGAACTCAGACAGTCTCTCACCCTGTTCGTTCCATTCTAGGCCATGGGTCCCGATGTGAAGTTCTTCAGCTGATCTTCTCTGTCCTATCTTGGCATTAAAATGACCCACAATGATCTTGTAGAAGGTGTGGTCTTCTTTATAGAACTTCTCTAGCTCCATGTAGAACTTCTCGATTTCTCTTTCATCATAATGAGATGTTGGTGCGTAGACAACGAAGATAGAAACTGTAGGCAGTGAGCCACATCTATTCAAATGTAAACGTCCGATTCGGGTTGTTAGGCATTCGAATGAATCAATGTTTTTGGCCAAGTTTGCGTGAACAAGGACACCGACGCCTCCAACACCTCTTTTATCGCATGTTCCGAGGAACAATTCTTCTCCAGTGTTGAAAACGGCATGGTGAGATTCGTGCCTTCTTGTCTCGGTCAGACCAATGATGTCGTACTTGATCATTCATGCTTGTACCATCAGATCCTCGATGGATGCATCTGATGCTAGCGTACGTGCATTGAAAGTACAGACGATCATTTTTGTCTTCCTTCGTTGTGGCAGCCTAGGTCGGCCTTGAGATTTTGTCGGCCTCTCCTTTATCATCCTTCTCAGTGCTGCCATGTCGGTGAAGCCTTCAGGGTCAGGTGAATGAGACCAGTTGCAGTTACTGGTTTTGGCATATCGAATACACAACGGATAGCTTGCCAGGCTCTTCCGTGCGGGCGGAATACTCTCGGTAGCTTGCCAGTCTTTCCGAGAGGGATAGAGGCTTTTGGGGCGACCTTTAATCACCCTTGTAGATGTTGCCATATTTGAACTCTATCATGACCAAACATGATTGCCACTCAATGCCTCTCTTGCAAAACACAGTACCCAAAAGAAGAGAGAGAGAACAAGGGGAATACCCTGCCACAGAGGCAGGATGGGACAGGGGGGATGGGGGGTGGGGGGAATGCTGGGACCCGTGGTGATGGATGATGGGCACTGGTGGAGGGATGGGCACTTGATCATTGTATAACTGAAACCCAAGCACAAAATTTGTAAGTCTATAACTGTACCTCATGGTGTTTCACTAATAAAAAAAGAAAAAAAATATTAGAATGAAAAAAATATATATATTTTTAAAAAGCGCCTAGAAATAAAGACTTGTATAGGAAAGTGGCAGGCTACAAAATCAATGCGCAGAATCCAGAGCTTCTCTGTATGCAAATAACGAAAGAGAGGGAAATTTAAAACAACAACAACCCCGTTCACAATTGTGCCTCAGAAAACCAAGTACTTGAAAATCAGATTAGCAGAAGAGGTGAAAGACTTATGCAAATAAAAGGTGTGCAATATATCTACACAATGGAATACTACACAGCTGTTTGGGAAAATGAGGTCATGAAATCTGCCATAAATGGATATACTTGAAGAGTATCATGCTGAGTGAAATGAGTCAGAAGGAGAGGGACAGACATAGAATGGCTGCATTCATTTGTGAGATATAAAAATAACATATGAAACTAACATCCAAGGTCAGGGAAAATGGGCCAGGAGGACTGGTGAATGGTGGGTCAATGGTGTGGGAGACGGAGGGTAGTTAAGCTGGAGGAGGGTCCATTATGACAATATTAGTTGGAGATAATCACTCTGGACAAGAAAGTGAGTGTTGGGACAGAAGTGGTAACACAGAGGATAGGGCATTTGCCTTGCATGCGGGTGACCCGGGTTCGATTCCCAGCCTCCCATGTGGTCCTCCCGAGCACCCCCAGGAGTAATTCCTGAGTTCAGAGCTAGGGGTAATCCCTGTGCATCGCTGGGTGTGACCCAAAAAGAAAAAGAAAGAAAGAAAGAAAGAAAGAAAGAAAGAAAGAAAGAAAGAAAAACTGAGTGTTGAAAGCAGGTAAAGGGATATAGATGATCATCTTTCAGCATCTGTATCACAAACCATAAAGCCTAAAATGAGAAAGAGAAAGAGAGAAGAGAGGTACCTGCCATAGAGGCAGGTTGGGGTGGCTTGAAGGGGTAGGAGGGAAACTCGGGACACTGGTGCTGGGAAATTTCACTGGTGGAGGGATGGGTGTTGGAACATTGTATAACAGGAACACAATCATGAACAACTTTGTAATGCTCTTTCTCATGGTGATACAATTTTTAAAAAGGTGTACAATATCAAACACTACAAAAATACATAAAAGAGGACACAAGAAAGTGGAAACACATCTTCTGTTTATGGAATGGAAGGATTGAAATGTCAAAATGAAAATCTTGCCCAAAGCACTATACAGATTTGATCCAGTCTCTTAGAAAAATACTCAAGACCTTTTAAAAGACATAGATCAAACACCATTGAAGTTTATGTGGAGTAATAATACCTCCTTCCACTCTTCCTGCCCTGCCACAAATAAATAAGGCATCACAGGAAAAAAGAGGGGAGAATTCTCTTTTCCCAACTTTAAACTATACTAAGAAGTGGTAGTAATCTAAACTGTGGCACTGGAATAAGGACAGATTCTCAGACCGATGCAATAGAACTGAGGGTACAGAAACAGGGCCTCAGGTACCTGGGCAGTTAATCTTGGGCAAAGGGACAAAAAACATGAAGTGGAGCAAGGAAAGTCTCTTCAAGAACTGGTGATGGGAAAACCAATCACACGCAAACAAAATCAGGCCCCTTTCTAGCACCATGCACAAAAGTCAAGTCAAAACGGATTAAAAACCTTGACATTAGACCCAGGTCCATAAATTATACTGACAAAAACATAGGTATAACAATTCATCACACTCAATCTAGAGGCATCTTCAATGATTCAGTGCCATTAGCCAAGCTAACTGAAGCAACGATGAACAGATAGGACTACATCAAACTAAGAAGTTTCTGCACCACAAAAGAAATAGTGACCCAAAGAGAAAGATCCCACAGAGTGGGAGAGAGTATTTACCCACCACTCATCTTATAAAAGGTTAATATCCAAGACACACAGAGCACTGGTACAACTTTACAAGAAAAGGAAAACCAGCCCAATCATAAAATGTGGGGAAGAGCTGAATAGAAATGTCCTCAATGAAGATATACAGATGACATAAAGGTATATGAAAAAAATTCTCTGCATCTTTTATCAGTAGGGAAATTCCAAATCAAAAAAGCAACAAGCTATCACCTACCACAGAGCAAAACATCACAAAACAAAAAGTGTTGGCATGATGGGCACGCATCACAAAACAAAAAGTGTTGGCATGAAAGTGGGGGAAAACGGACCCTCATTCACTGATGGCAGGCATGCTGACTGGCCTAGCACTTTTGGAAAACACAATGACTGTTTCTCAAAAATCAAGGAATTGAGCTGTCACCTGACCCAGCAACTCCAATTCTCGGCATTTTCCCCAAGGGCCCTAAGACTCTACTCAGAGAAGACACCTGCGCCCTCATGTTCAGCACTATTCACAATAGCCTAGATATGGAACCAACCAAGTGTCCAAAAATAGATAACTGGGGAAAGAAACAATGGTATATATACACAATGGGGTACTAGTCGGCTAAAAGAAGAGATGAAATCATCCCATCTGCTGCTCCATGGATGGATCTGGAGAGTATCATGCTTAGTGAAATCAGGAGAAGGACAGACACAGGACGATCACTCTCATATGTGGGATATAAAGACACCAAGTCAGGGGATATCAAATGCCCCAAGGCAGCCGAAACTGAGAACTGGTCCTCAGTAGGGGACATATCACTATAAGAAGTGTGGAGGGGACACTGGGACAATGGTGGAGGGGTAGGGTGTATTTCTGGAATGATCTATTTCAGAAGCCCAGTCATAAATAGTATTGTAAACTGTGGTGAAAATAAAACAAAATTTGAAAGAAAAGAAAAACACAAAAAACAGTTGGGTCCAATCCTAGGCTATCCTCTATCAAGCTGTTCCAGGAGCTGGCTAGATGGGCTCCAAGTTCCAAAACTTGAGTTTTCAATCTCCAAGTCTAGAATGCACCTGTGCTAAAAATGAATATGAGCGCCCACCAGATTGGCTCGTTCAGGTCTGCCTTGGAGGAGAAAGAAAGGAAAGGGAAGGGACAGAAAGAAGAGGGAGTGGGGGAGGGAGAGAGAGAGAGAGAGAGACAGAGAGACAGACAGACAGACAGATAGACAGACACAGAGACACAGAGAGAGAGAGAGAGAAAGGGAAAGAGAAAGAGAAGAGAGGCCAAGAAGAAGAGGCGTTCACCCTTTCCCCAAAGACCAGAGACAGCCTTTGTACAAAGGTATTTTACTTTAATAAAAATACCAGCTCTTTTATGATCATACAAAACTTCTCATCATTTGAAGTTAAAACTCTGGGTTTGGAGTTTGTCCTCGGACACACAGTTGATAATTTGATAATTAAGTCTCTCTCCTTTTCCTGCTCTGCTGGGGCCCATCCACCCGTGCTGATATTTCGATAGCCAGATCTAGAAAGGAAATGCCAAAGGGACAAAGTTTGGTTAAAACAATTCCTGTCCTGGCTGAGCATGAATCCGTGTGTTGGGTCATGTCCAGGTTAGCAACAGAGGGGCTGGAGATATAGCATGGGGTTAAGCCCTTAACCTTGCACGTGCTGGCCCTGATTCCAAATCCCCAGCATCAACCCAGGGGGTCCCCTGAGCACTGCTGGGTAGATGCCTGAGCACAGAGCCCTGAGCACCACTGGATACAGCCATCCCTCCCTATCCCCGCCACAGGAAGGAGATCCAAGATGAGGCTAGGAAGGAAGGCGCTTTAACCTCCACCCTGTCCTTTCAGAGTCCCTTCCAGCTCAGCGTGGGGCCTGGGGGCCTCCTGCCACCTTCCCTGGTGTGTGCCTGGTGTGGAAAGATGCTCTGCTCCCGTCACGCAGTTCAACACCCCAACCTGAAGCCCTTTGCAGCGAAAGCCACTTCCCTTTTCCTCTCCCATTTCTAGCTGTTTTCTCCCCCACAACACCCCCTCACCCCCTACCTAGTCTGCTCCTTTCAGCCAATAGAACACTGGGGGGGGGGGGAAGGTGAGGGGTCTGGAGATAGCTCAAAGGGCTAAAGCACATGCTGCGATATGCAAGGCCCTGAGTTTGATCCCTGCCTGGCACACTGTGGGCCCCCAGTGCTGAGTGCAGGAGGCATCACAGTCACTGGCCTGAGCTGTCAAACATTAAGTCCGTTGGCTAGGAATGGCCAGGAAGGGCCCCTGGATTTCCGGAGCGGTGCTGGGGATGCCCTCTTCCTAACACCCCTGCCCCAAAAGATAATCAGCAGCTTTTTGTTTGGGGACCAAACTGGGCAGTGCTCAGGGCTGACTCCTTCCTGACTCTGTGCTCAGAGATCACTCCTGGTGGGGCTCAGGGAACCCTAGGAGGTGCCAGTGATGGAACTGTGGCCGATCAGGTGCAAGGCCAGCACCTTCCCCTCTTTCCTCTCTCTCCAGCCTCTCTCTCTCTCTCTCTCTCTCTCTCTCTCTCTCTCTCTCTCTCTCTCTCTTTATTTAATTTTATTTATTTATTTTTTTTTTTGCTTTTTGGGTCACACCCGGTGGTGCACAGGGGTTACTCCTGGTTCATACACTCAGGAATTACTCCTGGCAGTGCTCAGGGGACCATATGGGATGCTGGGGATCGAACCTGGGTCGGCTGTGTGCAAGGCAAACACCCTACCCACTATGCTATTGTTCCTGCCCCGTCTCAGTCTCTTTCCTAACTCTCTGTGTCTCTGTATCTCTGTCTCTTTCTGTGTCTCTGTCTCTGTCTCTCTCTTTTTTTGTGCTACACCAGTGATGCTCAGGGCTTACTCCCAGCTCTGCATTCAAGAATCACTCCTGGCAGGCTCAGGGGCACCTTCGGGGGTGCTGAGGACCACCACGTGCAAGGCAAGTGCCCTCCCCTCTGTGCCATCACTCCGGTCCCTCTTTTCCCTGGTGGGAACTTCCTGTAGCAAACCATTCTGCCGTCTGCCAGGTGCTGGCTCTGAGGGTCGCTGAGGGTTAACTCCCATGTTCCTCTCCCGGTGAGGCCAGGACCTCTGCCCCAGGACAGCAGAGGGGCCCCAGGACCCAGGACCCCCTCCCCACAGCCTCCCACCCCCTTCCCCCAGGGTCCTGCACAACTATGGGTGGGTGGGGGGTGTCTCTACTTTGCAGCTTCCACACAGTTCCCAGCCGGGCGCTGTGACAGGTGGGGAGCGCTGTGGGCCCACAGCCCACCTCCCCAGGGACCTGGTTATCCCCCCATCCCCCAGGCTGGTGGCCTCTCCGCGTACCTCCACATTGCCGCTCAGTCATCTTTCCTCCTCTCAGCCGGCTGCTTCTTGGCGGGCCCCAGGCTTTGCTCCTTGGCGTCCAGCCTTCTCCGCTGGTAGATCTTGACGCCCGCAAAGGCCAGGCAGAGGATGAGGGTCTTGGCCGCCAGGATGTACAGCAGCAGGGGCACGTGCTCCAGGACCTGAAATGCCACAAACCGGTGTGCTGGGTGCGAGTGTGCTCGGCCTGGATACGCTCACCAAGGTCCTGACGCCCACCTCGCTCCCGACCCACGAAGGCTCAGCCCGGATAGGTCCCTGGCGGCTGGGGCCCTGCTCCCAAGGCTAGAGGATATCCCTGCACAGGTCACAGCAGGGAGGCGGGGCCACTTGGGTCGGTCATTTCAATTTTTTTTTTCCTTTTTTTAGGGTCACACCCAGCGATGACAGGGGTTACTCCTGGCTCATGCACTCAGGAATTACTCCTGGCGGTGCTCAGGGGGACCATATGGGATGCCGGGAATCGAACCCATGCAAGGCACGCGCCCTACCCGCGTCATTTCACTTTTTGAGCTTCCCCTGCCCCCGCCCCATTTTTTTTTCTTGGAGGGAGTTTGCTTTTTGCCAAGGGAGGCTGGACCCCCACCTTCCTCCTGGTTCTCTGCCTAAGCCATGAGCCCCGAGCAGGCAAAGACAAAATAGCTCTAAAAATCAACACAGTAAATCTCTAAATGTGACTTTTTGCCATCCCCCCATGCCTGTCGCCTCCTGTCTGAGGTGGGCCACACTCAAGTCTGACTCCCGGCTCTGTGCTCAGGAATCACTGCTGGTGGGCTCAGGGGGCCCTCTGGGTAGGGAACCGGCAAATCGCTGCGTGCGAGACAAGTATCCTAACCCCTGTCCAATCTCTCCGGCCCCGAAAGTTTGTATTGAAAGCTGAGGCTGACTCCTTATGGATCAGCCAGGCTTGAAGAGAGGCACGTTTGTGGTAATGTTACTGGATCCCCCCTGGGGCCAAAAACGCCCCTTTGGTTGCTCTAACCCCTTAGGATTCTCTGGGCCAGCTGAGCACACACTAAGCATGAGCCTCCCTCTCCCAACTCCTGCCTTTCTGTGGATGAGGCTCCGGAGAGCTGTAACGGTGGAGCACACGTGTCTGTATCCCAGGTCCTGGGGCCCTCCCTCCCCCCCGTTCCAGATAGAAACCAGAAACTTCGCTTTCGCCCCTGCTGGAACACCATCCCTCACTGTGATGGGAACCAGCACCCAAGGTGCCACAGCCACGGGGTTCCGGTGTCTACTTGCTTTCTTCGAAGCCCTGCCAAGGAGGTGACAAGATGCCAGAGTTTGGGGACTGAGAAAGGGCAGAGGAGGGTGGCTGAGTTCAAGGATCCTTCAAGGGCTGAGGCGCAGGGTGGGAGGGCCGAGTCCCAGCCTCCTACTGGCATGTTTCAGCGGTGGAAAAATCATCCCTTGATTTCCTGCTAACAAGCCCCTCCGGGACCTCTCAAACCTTCAAGAAGGGGGGAGGACTGGATCTTACTGGGGTGTGTCAGGGCACCCACATTTTTCAAACACAGCCTGGACGTGACCCCCGAGTCCTTCCAAGACTGGCCCGGGGCAAGGTCCTTCCTTTGGGGGTGCAGCTCCGAAGCATCCCCAACTCTGGCAGTGCCAGGTGGGGTCCTAGAAACTGGGGAGGCTGGGAAACTATACACAAGGAGGTATCCTTATGACTGGCAAATCCGGGGTGCTGACCACTCCCCCCATCCCCCATGCGGAGAGTACCTGCTCTGTGCCTGGCTTGACACTTGTGGATAACAACTTCAGTCCGGGGGACTCTCTCCTCACACCCAAGTCGTGAGGAAAACGGGGTCATGCTCCCACCCTTGTCACTAGTCAGGGGGAGGGAAAGGTCACTTATGGGGCTTGGGGTGGGTGTGGTGCAGGCATATGGCTAGCAGATTTCTTTCCTGCCAGTCCCTGGCCAGCAATCCCCAGCCCACCCCCAATAGTCCACACCTCCTGCCCACTCCCAGCACTCCCCAGCTGAACTCAGGAACCCAATACCAGCTGAACAAATTCCCTCATGTTTCCAAAAGAGAAAACTTCAATGCCTGCTAGGCTCATCCCAGAGGACATTCACACAGGCCTCCTGGGGGTGGGTACCCGCCCCCCCAACCAGTTCTGTGCTCCAAAGAGCTGGGGGATACAAGAACAGACAACTGGTTAAAGAAACTGTGGTACATCTACACAGTGGAATACTATGCGGCTGTTAGGAGAGATGAAGTCATGAAATTTGCTAAGTGAAATGAGTATCATTTGCTAAGTGAAATGAATATCATGCTAAGTGAAATGAGCCAGAAAGAGAGGGACAGACATAGAAGGACTGCACTCATTTGTGGACTGTAAAATAAAATAACACGAGACGGACACCCAAGGACAGTAGATACAAGGACCAGGAAGTTTGCGCCATAGTTGGAAGCCTGCCTCATGAGCGGGTAGGGCGGGGGTGGGGGGAAGAAAGGAGCTGGGATAGAGAAGGGATCACTAAGTTAATGATGACTGGAGGGATCATTCAGGATGGGAGATGTGTACAGAATATAGATAAAGGACCAAACATGATGGCCTCTCAGTACTTGTATTGCAAACCATAATGCCCAAAAGGAGAGAGAGTATGGGGGAAATTGTCTGCCATAGAGGGAGTGGGAGGGTGGGAAAGGGGGGGTATACTGGGGACATTGGTGGGGGAGAATATGCACTGGTGGAGGGATGGGTGTTCAATCATTATGTGACTATAACGCAAACATGCAAGCTTGTAACTATATCGCACAGTGATTCAATACAATAAAAAATTAAAACAAACAAACAGGGGCTGGAGCAATAGCACGGCGGGTAGGGCGTTTGCCTTGCACGCAGCTGACCTAGGTTCGATTCCCAGCATCCCATATGGTCCCCCGAGCACCGCCAGGAGTAATTCCTGAGTGCATGAATCAGGAGTAACTCCTGTGCATTGCTGGGTGTGACCCAAAAAGAAACAAACAAACAAACAAACAAACAAACAAAGAGCTGGAGAGTGGGAGGGGAATGACCTCTCTGAGCTTCCAGATCCTGCTGCCAGATCTTTCCAGTTCTCTTTGCACTAAGAAACCAGTAGATGCAGCGAGGAAAATGCTTATAATCCCTGACGTGGAAGCACACAGGGAGATGGTAACTTGAGATTGCACGTGGCCATACAAGGGGAAAATAATCTGGAAGGAAGTACCATCAGGAGCGATCATATCTAGAGGGGGAGAGTAAACAGGCTCTTTGACTTATTTTCCTATTTTTCCAAGCAGCTGCAATGCAATTAGTTTTGTCGGGTGAGCTTTTTTATTGTTGGCTAGGAGGACTCAAAGGCCAGCTTGCTAAGGGTGTGGGGAATCACCTGGTACTTCCCAACTTGAATGAAGCCTAAAACATACAAATTAGGACCCTGATGGTACTAAAAAGGAGACTACTCAAGGAAAAGCCCATGATTCAGGATCATCCTATTCTTCTGAAATGAATGACCTGGGGTAATTTTTGTAAAGGGCAAATGATTTCTGTGATCTGAAGACAAACCAGAGTTACTCAGAGTAAAATTTTGCAATGATGGTATCACACCCAAGCCCTCCTCACCTTCCAGTTCATGCTGGACCCAGAAAGGCACTTCCGATGGGGCAGGGCCCCTCGGCACAGCACCCGAGGAAGAAGTGGGCAGGGCCCTCAGCTCTGGTGGGAGAGAAGAAATAGAAAAAGTATTAAACAAATGCTGACGATGAGAGAAATCTACTGTAATTGGGGAGTGTCACAGTCCTCAGCCAGGTGACCTAGAGCCTGGGGCGAGGGCAGCCGTGCCCCAAAGTGGCCGTGCCAGTCCTGGTCCATTCCTGTGGAAGCCCAGAGCTCAAGGGAGTCCCGTCCAGGAATGGAGTGTGTCTGTGGAGGCTTCAGACATGGGGAGAAGGAGTCAGTGATGGGAGAGCAAGGAGGTGGTGCAGGGAAGGCAACTCACACCTAGCATCCCCCCACTCAAAGTGAGCAAGAGGCAGGAGATGGGAGGAAGGAGGTGATAGGCCTCAGAGCTCCCCACCAGGTTTACTGGGAGCTTCCAGGACACCAGGTGGACTAACTCCTGGCTCTGTGCTCATGCCTGGCGGTGCTTGAGAAACCAGATCCAGTCTCAGGGATGGAACGGGGTCCTGTAACGTGCAAGGCAAATGCCTCACCCCGGTGCTCTCTCTCTGGGGACTGTGATGCGTACCCAAGAGTCAGAAGCCTGGAGCTCTGGATGAAGCTATGCACGCTGACGGGCCCTCTCAGGGGGCATCAGGACCATCTGAAAATGAAGAAAAGGCCGTCAACCATGTTGGTAGCTTTCAATCTTCTTCATACCTGCTGAAACAGGTATCGGTCCAAAGACCAGAGAGTGAAAACCAGTAAACTCGAAGGTCCAGAGTGCCTTTCCCCTGTGTCCAGAGACTTACACATATTCCCCACAGCATCCCAAGGTTGTGCCGAAGGGCATCAGGTGTGCACTTGCTCATTCTTCAGCTCTGGGGCACCCCTTAGTGCCTGCCCTCCAGAGAGGTGGAAATGAGTGTGACATGTTCCCTCCCGGCTGGGTCCCTGAGTGTCTTCCCAGCTGTCCTGCAATTAGAAGCATTTCCCGGAATGCAGAGCATTCCCTTGAACCTCACAACTCAGCAACTGGACAGAAACACCCACAAATTGGGCTTTATCCACACTTTCCTCCCAAAGCTTCTCGGTACCCAAGATTCCTTCTGACATCAGTTCAAGGTCATCCTATCTTGAAAACTGGCTGGCAGGTAGCCCAAGAGAGCCTAGGTTTTCTCCCTTGACTTTTTCAAAGTCAGATAAGCAACACAAAGGAAATGAAACCATAAAGCCGAAGGTGCCAAAGGCATCATGTTAAACAAACAAACAAACAAACAAAACCAGTCTGGTCGGTCTCTAAGGAGTGGCCTCTACGGACCAGCCGGAGGGAAGACACTCCTACGCCTACAGCTGGAATTTCCCTTGGATGGGTTGCTAGTAACATAGGAGTCTGAATTCTTTTCAGTCAGCACAAATAAATGATTGGGGCTGTAAGTTTTACTTTTACAACCCCTGCTTTCATTTGTGTTCCTACAGAGCAGGGAAGTTCTGAGGCCAGATGCCGACCTGGTGAGCTGCAGTATATAAAAAATCAAGATCCCCAAGGCTGAAGACAACAAACAGAATGCTTACAGAAGGAAAGTTCCCAACGCTTACAGAAGGAAAGCAGGACCATGGGCCTTAGACAAACTTAGACAAACTTAGACAAACTCCTAAGGTTTCATGGGGGTGACCTTGGGCAAGTCCATTGGCCTGGCGAAGCCTGAGCTCTTTCGTCTGCTAATTCCCCTTAGGAGATCAGACTCTGACACTCACCACCACGCTCAGCACCACATGGAAAGCACTAAATAAAGGTTAGCCATCATGATGATGCTAAGTATCTCTCCATCCATGGATGGGCAGGCCCAGCTGAAGGGCGTGAACCAGAGGCATCCAGGCAGAATGCACAGGTGACAAGACAGCGGGACATTGGGGAAAAGGAGGGGAGGCTCAGGGGAGCTGGGGATGAGACTTGGGGCGATTCATGAACAGATGTGTCCTCTTTTTTAAAAGTCACAATCCAAAGAACAATTTTGTGGCCCTGGAATGCCCAAGTCCTGGGTATCTCAGTTAAAACAGAATTGAAATGTAAAAAATGCACAGTGCAGGGGCTGGAGGGATAGTTCAGCAAGGAGAGCATTTGCCTTGTATGAGGATGACCAGGGTTTGATCCCCGGCATCCAGGAGGGTCCCCAAGCACCACCAGGAGTGACTTCTGAATGCAAAGGGGGGGGGGGGGAACTCCTGAACACTGCTGGGTTTGGCCCCAAAACAAAATGAAACAAAAAATCCCTATATAATGTAACAATAACATAATATAGTACAATGTAACCAAATGCAAAGTTCTGGAAGGGAAACGTTATTAAAGTCAATTTGCAATGGTAGTAAGGGGTGCAGGGAGGGTGGAAGAGGAGAATGCAGATCAAAGAGTTCCCAGCCCTCCTTTTCAGCCATTTCTGTAGCACCCTGCAGGCGATCCCAAATGAGAACAACTGAGAGGGCTAAAAATATCAGGCCTCCAGGACATCTGCTCACTTGACCCACTAGCTAAAGACAGAGGCAGCTGCACCTCAGGGCTGGACTGTGGAAGCCAAAAAAGGAGGCTGGGACAGTTCTCAGAGGCACCAAGTCTGCCATGAGCAGGCATTCTACCCCTGCCACTCAGGCTTAACTCGGAATTCCAAAGCAAAAGAGCAAGATGGAAGAGTTCTAATAATCCCTTTAGGGGCAAAAATACCCAGCTTGTTTTCTTCGCCAGATTTCCCCTAGAGAATAGAAAAACTAGCTTGATTGTTTGGGTTTAATCCACTGAAGGTGTCTGGCCCCTGTACTGTGCCCCATCACAATGGTTTCTCCTTGGTACACCCCCAAAAAACGCCTGGGCCAACAACCCCTTGGCTCCTGAGCTCACTCCAGCTGCTGGTGGGGCAGTGCCCTCTGTGGAGCCCTTCATGGGGTCTTTGCAAAGCGGCTCTCATCCCTCTCTCTATCCTTTCCCCCAACCCTTCCGCTCAATCGCCTGAAATACCACATTTCACTGTATAATTGTGCACGCGGCAGAACTGAAGCACCCCGGTTTTTAAATAATGTTGGCACGATTTTTTTTGTTGTTTGTTTTGGGGCCACACCCTGCGCTGCTCAGGGTGTACTCCAGACTCTGTGCTCAGAGATCACTCCTGGCATGGAGGGAGGACTATAGGAGATACTGGATATCCAAGCAGGGTGGGCCAAGGCCAAGGCAAGTGCCCGACCCGCTGGAATATCGCTCCAGTCCATGGGCAAACTTGAAAAGCCCCAATGCAATGGGTGCACCCCACCTTTTGGAGAAAAGAAAATCTGCAACTATTATTCGATAATAATGCGGTAGGAATAAGCGGAGAGAGGAAAGGGGACAGGGAAAGGAGGGCGGTGGTCCCAGGAGACCCCTGGATAGTACTTGATCATTCTCCGCTCTGCATTCCCAAGACACAGCGGGTTCTTCGGCCGCGAGGGGATGCGGCGGGCAAGGATGCAATCTGTTCTCTGCACAATCTTAACTTTCAAGAAACTCACCGCATCTCATCCCCGCTGCCCGGACTGGACAACTCAGCGCCCCTGGGATGCACGGGGCAGCGCGGGCGAGGGGCAGAGCGCGCTCCCCGCTGCACCCACCCATGCCCCGTTCCCGGGCAGCACCGTGCTTGCCTCGATCTGGGCCTCGGTTCCTCCGGAAACCCAGAAGACCGGGCAGAGCCCATTCCTCTTGGGACTCTGGCTCAGGAACAATTGCCGGGCTCAGAGCCGAGGTTGAACGACGTCCCAAGTCACTGCGTCCCCAGCCCCCTTGCGCGGGGGTCCAGGCAGCCGGGACCCCTCGTGGGGTTCATCTCTCCCCAAACCCCGCGGCCACGTACACACTAGCCAGCATCCAGCCCGATCCCCGCCTGCCAGGCGACACACGCTGTCCCCGCGCCAGGCACCCAAGGGACCCTAGCACCCAGCGGGGGTGCATTGGGGGACCCTCCCCGGTTCAGCACCCGGGAGCCCTTTCGAGGAGAACGTGCACTGCCCCGAGCTCCGAAGGGCTGTTGGGCTTCGGGTTAGGCTCCCGTGAGCCGAACTTACACACACCCGTCACCCACTTACACCCACTCCGGGTCGCGCAGGTTCCTTCCTGTGCCCCTTGAAGTCCAAACCACGACGCCCACAAGGCCGCGGAGAAAACTACAAGTCCCGAAATGCACCGCTTCTCGCGCATGCGCGGTACGCCGGGGCCTCCTTCCGGCTGCAACGGGAGTGCGCAGGCGCATTGGTTACTTGCCCTCGCCGTTGGAGGCGGCTAGCGGGAAGACGGTGCATGGTTACCCAGGTTGGGGTGTTGCAGGTTCTAGGTCCCTGGAGGCGTGAACCTCCAGGGTGTGGACAGGGCACCATCCTACTGTCCTGGACCCCGTTTTTCAGAATTTCCGGCAGCGGGGGCAGCTCCGCCTTTCTGCTCTCCTGAAGTCCCTGGAACGCTGCAGGTCGCTATCTGCTACTGAGGACAGGTTCCCCACACCCCCCCGGAAGTTTCCAGATGGAGCGTTCATCATTCAATTCTTTCTGACACCACACGTGCATTTACCTTTAGGAGAGCTAACTGGTCTGGTGACTGGGCTCAACAGACGTTTAGTAAACGCCTACAGAGTTGGGGTACACTCAATCTCTACTTCACTGCACCCCAGTATTGGGAACCCAGGGCTTGCTTTGTGCATGGCTCACCCCTCTGTGATGGAGAAAATGGAGGTGGGGGGATTTCGAAGAAGAAAACGCAGAATGGACCTTTGAACCCCAAACTCTGGATCCTATTGATGTAGGCAGAGTGGCAGATGGGAAGGTCCCCTCTCCAGGTGATGGCAGTAAATTTCCTGGGAAGTAATAACTCTGAAGTTGCAGAGGTCAACCTTGCAGAAAATAGGAACTAAGGCTTGATAAGACCCTCACCTGGCGCCAGCAACAGGCCCAGAGAAGCTCCAGCAGAAACAAAAGGCCTGGAAAGGAATTTCAAAGACCATCGCCATTCCCAACACCCCCTAGGCAACGTCCTTAGCAACGGAATTTTACCTAGGTACAAGCGCCACATGGGGACAGGTTGGAGAAACCCTATTAAGGCCACCATGAACAAAGATAGGGCGCACATATGCTGCCCAAGCCCATGTGCTGCCTGTGCCCATGTGACCGAGCACATGCGGTGCCTGAGCACATGTGTCACCTACATCTACCCTCTTGAGATGTGGACTTTCATGCTTTCCTGTCTAATGCTGGGCTGTGTGTAGAGGCTCTCTCCGCCCCTGCGGAAGCCCGGGTTCTCTCTCGAGCACATTGCTCTCCACCTTCTCTCACTTTCTCGCCCTCCTTCCCTTCAAAACCTCCAAATAAAAACTAGTTTCACTGCTCGTCTACTTCTGAAATTCCTTCCTGCGAGGCGAGAGGAGAACCCAGAAACCCTGGGTCCCGGGTGGCAGAGGGAGATTGGGAGAAAGTGACCGTGTGTCTCCTCCACACTTCACATGAGCCATCTGTGGGTCCCACCAACATCGCTATCTGGATTTTTGGTGCTGCTAAGTGCAAGGTGTGAAGTCTGCGAGAGGGAAGGGCAAAGGCTGGGAAGGTGAAGGACTTTAGCATAGCGCATCAGGCTTGCTCAGAAAAAGAAAAGGCACTTTGCTCTAAGCCCTTTATTGAGCTGAAATCTCTTTTAAAAGTCCACAAAGAACCTAATATAAAGGTGCTCACCTCGCACATGACAATTAGAAAAAGATAAATTTGTCCAAGGGCTGGAAGCCATCCCATGCCAAAGGTGGGTCCTGTCTTTCTTATTCTAGGTGGGGACTGGGCGGCGGGGGTGGGGGGGAGGCAGCCACTGCCTTGGGTTCCTTTTTAAATACCTCTGAGCTTCTCTGAAAGATGAGGAATTCAGGTCCCTGCAGCCAGTAGACCGAGCAGAAGAGGGAGGAAAGGCAAGCAAAGTGGGTGGAAAAGCAAAACAGCAAGTTGTGTGATTTGGATTGGATTGGACACTGGCATTTTGGATTGCCGGATTGGAAATGGCAAGTTGGCATGGAGTGGGAGTCACCGAGTCGAGGTATGTATGGGGTCACAAGCTGGCATGTCCAACTGGCCAGAAGTTTTCAGCTGCTGAATCCCTCACATGGTCAGCCTTTGTCCCGTTCCCTGTATGGTCTGAAGCCCTCCATGTTCCCTCCTGGACTATCAGTGATGATAATGATGATGATAAAATATGACACATACACCCTTCAATTTTGTCCTCTTGTCAAAGATAGCAAAGCTGAACATGAATTACAGTGTTAGGCATCAGCTTTATACAGTAAGTTCTGCAGTCAGGAGAGAGTCTTGCAAGAACAAAACTCACCTTTGAGTTGTGCAGAGATAACTGGGCATTCAAAGGTTAAACTTCACCTTCCACACAGCTCCAGGAGCTGGGGTTTGAAGAGGGCAGGTAGGCCAACAGTTAGATGTGCAGTTCCAGCCATGTGCTGCTGCTCAGGCCAACGGTATTAGGGGCCACCAGGGGTCCACTCTAGCAGTTCTCAGGTTGCCATGTGGCACTGGGACTCAAACTCGGGAACTCCCACATGCACCGGCCCTTTGGGCTATCCCCCTGGTTCCTAACTGGGTATTTAATTCAACTATTTTATTTTGGTTTTCGGGTCAGACCTGGCAGTGCTCAAGGCTTACTTCTGGACTTAGGGATCACTCCTGGCAGTGCTGGACTGCAGGGGTGGGCTGGGGTAGGGTGATGCTATATGTGGTACTGGGAATTGAACCAGAGTTCGCTGCATGCAAGTAAAGAGGCTAAACCCCTATATTTGCTCTCTGGCCCCTACCTGAGCATTTTAAAGCGATAATAAGGGAGTGAGGCAGGGAGCTGGGGACTTGGGCAGAGTGAAGGAAGTGGAAACTTATAGAAAGCGAAGGCGACTGGTCTCACCCTCACTTCATGGTGCTCATCGGGAGGAGAAAGCGCATCTGTCTTTATGATGAAAGGTGTGATGTAAATGACAGCAAGGCAGTCACTTGGTGGCAGAATTGCCTCCCAAAGTGTTGACATCTCAAAGAGATGTCCTTTGGGGCAGCAAAATACCCGTAAGCTTTCTAAAGTCACTGTTTCAAGAGGGAGGGACGGGAGTCTGGTTTACTTGTCACTACGTTTTAGCTGCTACAAACCACAGATGGTCCCGGCAATGGAGCACTTTCTTGGGCAGACATCCAAGTGCCTGGGAGTCTGGAATTATCTTAGAGATGTTAGAAATGGTGCCAGTGTCTGTGCAAGTGTCCTGGAGTGCATTAGCATGTATGCCGAGAGTTTGCAGGGCTTGCAGGCCCTCTCTGTGACGAGGGTTTGGAGGCTCTGACCACATCAGTACATGAGGTCACCTTTGTCACCATAGGGAAACCTTTTGTACCTGTGTGAATACGGGATTGTGCCTGGCTGGCAGCCCTGGGCTCACAGGGATGAGTGTTCAGTGTTGTACCAGCATTTCGGAGTCTCTGACCCCAGAAAGGAGGCCACTATTGTTGCAGCTGCTCCTGGAAGAGGAATGGCATTCCCTGACACTGCACATCCTCAATCTGTTCCCGTTCCTTGGGGATAAGGGGATAAGGTAACAGACAGGCAGTGTACTTCTCAGTCTATAGAGCAAAGCCTCATGGTGGGTACAGGAAGTTGATGAAGAACTTCTCTCTCTCTCTCTCTCTCTCTCTCTCTCTCTCTCTCTCTCTCTCTCCCCTCTGTCCTCTCTCTTCCCCCTCCCTCTCTCTTGTTTTAAGTTTTGGGGTCACACCCAGAGGTGCTCAGGGGTTACCCCTGGCTCTGCACTCAGAAATCACTGCCAGTGGGCTCAGGGGACCATATGGGATGCCAGGGATTGAATCAGGCCAGTTGTGCAAGACCAGTGCCTTACCTGCTGTGTAATCTCTCTGGCCCCCAGGGCTTCTGAGACCCTTCCTGAGATTGCTCTTTCTCTTCCTGGCTCCATAGAGGAGTGGTTAAGGGAGGAGAAAAGGCTGAACTCAGAGGCACGAAGTTTTTGGAAGCCAGAGCCCCATACATCTATGTGCCATTGGCTGCCTCTTCCTGGCTACCCTGAAAATACATTGTTTTTGTTTGGGGGGCATACCTTGCTATGCTTAGGGGTTATTCCAGGCCCTGGGCTCAGGGATCACTTCTGATTGTGTTAGGGGACCAACCATGGTGCAGGGGATTGAACCCTCATGTTATCTCTCCAGCCCCTGAGAGTTGACCTCGACCAAGTTATGCCTGTGTTCCTGTTCTTCTTCTTTTTTAACTTTTTTTCTTTTTGAGTCACACCTGGTGATGCACAAGGGTTACTCCTGGCTTTGCACTCAGGAATTACTCCTGGTGGTGCTCAGGGGACCATATGGGATGCTGGAAATCGACCCTGGGTTGGCCGTATGCAAGAAAAACACTCTACCCTCTGTACTATCGTTCAAGCCCCCATGTTTCCATTCTTCTAACCACCCTCCTGTGTGGTTCTCTGGGACCGCATTGTCCTGTGCTATTATCACGAGGTGTGCGGGTCCAGCTCACACTCTACCTGAGAACGCCCCCTTCTGGGGACACTTCACGAGTCTCTGTGGGGTCTAGGCAATGGGTCCAAGTGGAAGGATAGTACATGGTGCTGGATTGAATTACCACATCAAGTCATCTCATCTGTGGACTCGTGTTTCCTCATTTATTAATGAGGTGGTCTGTCTCGAAGGTGATGCTGTCCAGGGGACACCCAGCCTAGACATGCCTGAATACTGTGTGTGTCACAGGGCAAAGCACAAAATAGTCAATGGAGTTTTCCAGGGGGTGGTCGACTAACTCTGACTTCCTTCAAAAGAAAGTCAAAATAAGTCGTTGTAAATAGAAGCACATAAAATCGCCTGAAGAGACCAAGTTGTTTATGAAGTAATGTCATGTTCTTTTCTATAATAGCAAGAACTCGTAAGTGGTTTTTCTGTGAAATTTTAAATGCTAGTTTAAAAATAGATTTTCCAAGTGATTCATGACGATTGTCCTTCTCTGGTGAGGACTACTTGCCTTTAAGAACCGTTCGGATTTCTGTCAGTTTTGAGACGTGCAAAGAAGTAAAATGCTTTAAAAATGTACCTGTAAAATAACCCCAGGATCCTGTCTATTCATCATGTCCCCTTGTGTGAATTAGTAAACAAACACT